TTCTCGCCGTGACCATACGAGCGCGTTGTACCCGGTTGCCATGCCCAGTAAACGGAGTTGAAGTCGCCTGCAATTATTGATGCTGGCGGAGGTACCCAGTTGATTACTGGCTCGATTGCTGCGTCATTATTGTGCGCCTTGTACACATTGAGAAATGTGACATTGTTGACAACTACCCAGCAGTAGTCTCCGGTCAGCGAAGAACATGGGAAAATCTGTTTGGCAAATATTTCCTTCTCCTTCGTTCGAGTGTACGTTACGACTCGTGGCCGAACGCCTATCCCGCCGTGCGGGATGTGCAGAGTGTATCCAGGGTGAGATTTTGTCTCGCTGGACCACCAAGGTTCCTGTACAAGCACAACATCAATGCCTCTCTTTAAAGCTCGAGAAAGCGCAATGTCGTGCGTTGGACCCCCCCTACCAACATTTATAGATATAAACTTGAGCTTTGGTAGGGATGAACGACGCCGTGAGACGCCTTTTATGAACGGGGGGTGGCATCAGTCGGCGTGACTAATGCGGGTGGTAGGGCGGACGAGCCTGGGCTACTTGCACTCCCTGATCTAATGTTGGCGAGGCTGGCTGCTCGCGTTTTGTCAGCCTCCGCTTTCTCCCTCTTGACCGCCTCGAACTCACAGTTGCCGGCGTTTCGGATTGTGTCGAGCTGCTCCTTAGTCAGCGCTCCAGCACGAGTGGGTCGGACAAGACAGTTCCGGCTATCTGCGCGATGAGGACCTCCGCAGTTGCAACATCTAGCTGCAGCAAGACATTCTCTTTCTGAATGCGTCAATGAGCCACAGTTTCGGCAGGCTGGAGTCCGAGAGCAGCCGCCGGTACTGTGGTACCCAAAGCAACTTTTGCAGATTGCTTGTGTTTGACGCTTCGGGACTGTGGCTGCCCGTCCCGAGTCGTCAAAAAGTTGGAATCCTGTTCTAGGGGCAGATTCGCTCTCGAAAAAGGCTACCCAATTATGGTATCTGGCTCCGTACTTGCTCTTACCGTGCCGCCGCGCGGATTTTGGTGTCATCCCAGTGACACGTTCTATTTCAGAAACAATGTGGCTTTCCGAAATAAGTCACTTGCCCATCCAGCGAGATAATGTGGACGGGTATATTGGGTAGCATGAGGCTAGCCCAGTTTCTTGCTGGCTCGAGGCTAATATCTTGCGGAAGGCAGCCCGCACAGCTCAAGAGCAGCTTTTTTGCATCCTCATCTTTGGCAATAAGAACGAAGCCAGCTGCTGTTGGCAAAATCTTGTCAATGTTTGTTGGGTAACAGCCAAACTTACTAATGACTGCTACCCGAATTCCAGCAGTCGAAAGTGACCTCCAATTGTGATTCTTGGGAATCCGAAGGTATTGACCAACCTTCTTCTTTCCTTCTGGCTCCTTCAATCCATGACCAGGCCGAGATAAAATTTTTGCAGTTGGAGGACTAGGCAGCTTTGACCGAGTTTCCTTATCCCGGGCTCCTTCTCTCCGAGTTTCTTTTCCGACAATAGCGGCCCAAGAATTAGCTTTAGAGCCACTGGGTGTTATGAACTTACTTGTGGGCTGAATTACGAAGCTGTTAAGCTACAGAGGTCGAGTCAGTTTCGGCGAGGCGACGGTTAAAAGGTAGCGGATTAATCACGAATAGTTGAACAAGTAGCTTTATTAAATTCTGAGTACTGAAGGGTAGAAGGTCATGTCTCATGTAACAAAATTGTTAGAACTAAGGAGCCAATTCTAAATTTCCAACCAACATAATCTACGCTCCATTTGCCTAGCTCCAACCAAATTCACGAAATAGCCCGTGCGCCACCCTATTCAAATTATCTACAACGAATTCATAACACTGGGAGCCGCAGTGCTGGGTCGGTGAGTTTCCACATGCGCGGGCTTTGCCTGGGGAAATGCTGGTACTTTAGGCAGTACTGATGGGGCGGCCCTGGACCCTACCTGGATGAATTGGGCGATGGATGCCCAAAGATAGACTCGAAAGGAGTCAATAAAGTTTTTATGTACTCCTGTTAGCATGGGAGAAAGGTGTTTTTCCACGACGTTGATGATCGAGGAGCAAATTGAGATATTGGCAGCTACTTCTGCTGCCCGTCGTTTTTCATTCTCGACGAGGGCGGCCATCTCTTCTGAGATAATAGAAATGTTCGATTCCTGCTCCGCATCACTCCCTCTTTCCAGGGATTCATCACGGGCGGCATTGGATGGAGCCATGATGATTTTGACAGTTTCTGGCAGCCTTTTAGGCAAGGCTGCAATCTTTCTTGATGAGGTTGCTGACAACCTAGGAGTAGTTGGCGACGGGATCAATTTCTCTGTCTGCTGACTTGGCTCAGGGCTGCCTGAATTAGTTGGGGCAGCCCACATGGAGTCGGATAGGCCTTTGGTGACGAATTCGTCGACGGCCCTGTGAATCATCTCGATCTCCGGGGCATCCATCACTTTGGTGGTGATGGCAGCTTCGGCATTATCAATGTCCATCTCATCAATGGTGATGCCGTACTCCAATAGGCGCGACCATAGTCGGAGCTTGTCGTAATCCACCAGCAAGTAATGGCGTTTTGTAACTCGTACCAATGGCATGGTCGCCATCAATACGGTGGGTCCACAGGTTTGATTCTCTCGAGGGTGGTGGGAAGATAAAGAATGATAAGGTGTTGAAGTGAGGTAAGGGTGTTAGATTGCTGTGGAGGCAATTGAAAATGGAATTGCGATCGAATTAAGAGTTGTGACCGGTGCCAACACATATGTATTTGGCTTTATATTCCTAGCTTATATATCAATTGATTGTATCCTGGTCAAAAACCACAGTTGATAAGATATGTGCACGCGCAATCTTACTCTTATCATCTCATGTTTACTCAGTACCTTACATCTCAATACAATTGTTTCCATTCAAATCTTCCATCTACAACCTCATATAAGACTTAATCAGAGTGTAGGCAAAACTATAAACACTGCCCATGGTTGGTTGGTGCAGTGGTAGATTGTCTTGGCTTGTCTGCCAAGTAGAGTCTGGTTAGCTTGGACACATATCCCACTCGAGATAGTAGATTGCTGGATCAAATCCGGCAAAACACAACCACTTTACTAGCGGAGCTGGTATGCATGGATGACAAAGGTATACTTAGATAATTAAAATGTTTGAATTTCCCTTTGGTGGGTATTTACAGAGGAGGGTCGACTGTTTGTGTAAGCGAACATACCTCATAGTCATATTTGCAAATGAAATCCAGAGCATAAGTATCTCTAACATCAAAAGCATCATCTCACATGTATACGTAGCACTGGTTATGTGTCATATCTCTAAAGCTGGATACACATTAAATAATAATAAACAGTCTTACTGTATCAGTCTGACCGCCAATACTGATTCTGCTCTAACCTCAATCTTTACTGAAGCTCGTAACTTTAACAGTCTACTCCGGGAACTTGTCTTCTATGCAGATAAGAATTGAACCGAATGTGCTCACTTCTTATCTGTATGGCTATGCTACTTTGGGCTCTATTCAGGTCTATGTGGATACTTAAAAGTGCTCCTCTGTAGTTCATTCTTGTGCTTCCCATATTTTTGTAGTAAGAATGTTCGCTACTGTCCAGGTTTTGGGGTCTGTAATTGCTCGGTGACTAAAGAATTGTATTGTTAATTGCTCTATCCAGTCTCTTTCCCATTCTTGGAAAGCTGCAATGTTTACTGCCATCTCTAGTTGTTCCTTTGTGTTTCTGTTCCCACAACTTGATTCCCAGTCAAAGATTTCCTGTGACGCTCTGTGTGAGCTCACAAGTCTACCATATACAGTAAGATAGCTATTAGATACATAGATCTAATTTTGTGCCTTTTTAAGCCAGTCGGCACTCTGGTAAAAGCTTTCTGACTACAGTTACATGTCTTATGTACAAGGAACGTTGCATGTGCACCAGTCGTGTGGTCTTTTCATGGATCATTTTGGCATAGCGTAATATGTAACGCCATGCAGACGGTTAAGTTAGAACACAAATAATAGTTTAATGCACTTATAAAACCAGCAAGGAAGACTGATAAGAATAGGCTAGTTTCATTAGGTGATATGTAGCAGATTGTTGGCCATAGGGGCTGTGTGCTACGTACTATTTCGTAATTTTTTGTATATAAATACTCGGCGTGAAGAAGCATTATTCTTCACGCAACGTCTTCTTCAATTACCTTAATAATACATTTGTTTACCCATCTCTTCTTCGGGAAGACCATTTATCTGTTTTCCAGCTCTTCATCAGCAAGACCCACGTGTAACCTCTACCATTACTATCTACCTATTTTATCCCTTCCTAGAGAAGACCACTCATCACCTCCATCTACCTCCTAGATCTTCGTTAGACCACATATGCACCCTGTGGAACACTGTCCTAACCTCGCCTTGAGAGGTATGTGCGTCAAATTGCCTTAGCTATTAATCCGTTGCATATATCTTGTACTTTTGTCTTTGTGGTTTACTCTCACTGCATATTGACAAAATTTTCTCATATAATGGTATTCTCTTGATATCACAATCTATGGAAGCCGTCTGTGCTTAAGGTATATTTCTATTGGCAGGGCTGGGGTTTCATGCTCCAGTACCCTACAACTTGTTGATTTGTATGCTCCTGTTACAAGTGGTCAAAGTCAATTAATACTAGCCTCACAATTAATGGAAGTTTAGTTGTGTGTATTCTTAACATCCATGTATTTTCCATAATTGGAAGCGCCATTTTCTCATTATTTCCATGAACCTTCATGTATGTCTTGCCATAACATTCAGACTATAGCAGGCTTTTATCTTTGAAAATCAAGCTATTCACATGAGGATAGTTTGCATATTCTCCAGTTTTGTAATTTGTATTTACTTTGTAAACATTGCTCTTTTCCCTATCCACTCACCAAGTACCATGTGTAATTTATTTCCATGCACCATCAACAATTTACCACTTTGAAGTGATAACCTTGTTTTGTAATTATTCTATTATTATTTGTTAATCAGTCTTTTACTACACAGAGAATTCTTCAATTTCATCACAATTATAATATCGCCCATACACAAAAGCCTGTACATTAAGAATTTCTTTTGTGTTTTTGAAAAAGACTTTTACTCTCGAATTTCGATCTGATAGGGTTTAATTTTATCAGTTATGAATGATTTTTGGAGATAAGATTTACCCACCATTATATCCTGGGAATGTAAATCCAAAATCAAGATCAGCTTGTAAATTGCTATTAAAGAAAAAAGGGTTTAACGGATCTTGTGCTACACAAGTATTATAAGATGTATCAACATGACTCATGAGTAAATGGTGAGAAACATTTTCTCCTAAACAAGTGTAACCGTCCAGAGCAAGTGTTGGCATTAAAATGCTCAGAAACGCTGTAATTGATGTAACTAGAGATTTATTCATTTCTTCGGTAAATTTTTATTTTAGTCGTCAATAACTTGTGTTTTTTGAATATTTAAGAAACTTTTTCAAAAAGGGGATGATTCAGATGAAAGAGGTCTGGTTTTGGAGCTAGAAAATTGAATAGCAACTATGATTATATATTTATCTGGGTATTGAGAGAGACTTTATTAATCCCCTACCTTTTTTAAATTAATGAAAATGTTACATCACAAAATAAGTTAAAATAAGGCATTCTATTCTTGTCAATTATGTAATGATAAGGTGTCACCCTAGTTGTAAATGCTCCTGCGAGCTTTGTGTGGTTAGACAATTCAAATATTAGAGCCATTTTTATTGTATCCTTGGGCCGGAAAATGGGGGGTAGCTTGTTGCTGGATCAATTGATGTTGGTAAACAGCAGAGCAAGTCAAGAATAAAATCAGTTAATTAACAAAATCTGCTGACAGAAAGTCTCCTATATCTTCCTAAGGAACTAATGAAATGTAAATAATGGCGCCGATCATATCAGTCTCTGTTGCTAAACCACTGTATCCAATCTACACTTTTAAAATTGATTTCATTCAGCACAATTAAGTTCCTATAGGGCCTATGCAGATGTCTACAAACTCACATGTTTACAAATGAGGAAACCTTGCTGGAAAAACCCATCTACTTTTAAATTTGTTTACACTTTGACTCTGTATAAGCTTCAAGAAGTGCACTAACACTGTTATGTTTAGCGCAGATTACGTCCAATTCCATACTAATGGCAGGAGATCAACTTTCCCCTACTCTCCTCTCTCTTCCTCATTGTTGCTTCGACTTCAACTGTCAGTCGAAACCATTCTAGCCGTCCTTCCTGCAGGATCTATCTAGTTATCCTTGCCATGTCATTTGGCTTGTAATCTACACCCTTGGTGGTCCCTAGAGCTGACTAGGCCCTAGATGTCATAGATCAACTATATGATATTGTGTTGCATTTGGCCAACTGTCCCATGAGTGCAATTAGTAATAGGGTTAGTGCGTTACAATGATTACAATGTTGTGGTAGCATCAGTCACAAATCAAGATACTAAACAGTTGCTATGTTACAGCTTTTGGCTATTGCACACTTGATTATAGTGACTGGTCTCAGGTACTTTAGCAAGCCCATGAGCTGTATTTGTGTCGGAAATATTACGTAATAAAATTTGCGCAATATTTATGGAGCGAAAGAAGAAGTTGACTAAGAGAGTGTCATTTTCGGACAACAGCTAAAAGAGTGGGAAGTGTGTGCTACATGTATAAGTGTAAGTGACACAGCGCCTAGGCCATAGCATAAAAAAGTATGGCACCATCTAGACATAGGAAACACTCAATAACCCCCTTGCGACCACAATATTCAGCCGCTCGTGTATCCAGTAGATAGCCTGAAGCGCTATCATGTTACCCATCCCAAGCTCTTCAATAAATATAGGATTGTGTCGAGAGCTGTTGGAATTTGCCACATTTCTTACAGTAATTGGCATTCCTTACAAATATGAACAACTTTCTTGAATACTGCATGTTACATCCTGTATTCTGCATTTTAATTTCAATATGTTGTTGAGCGATTTTCTCATGCATTTGCATGCGCGGGGTATTACGTTACTAGGCGCAAATGCAGTAAGAGATAAGGTCATATTTACTTTAAGTTGGGATTAATAGCTTACAGTAGTCAGTGACCCGAAGGTCCTATTTCGCATTTTGCGCAGGATGTGATAATATTACGGTCTGATTATCCTGTATTGAAGACTATGTTGATCTAATGAGGAGAAGAATTTTCCTTTGTACAAGATTGAGGCATCTATGCGACGAATATTACACAATATAGCTGCCAATCTAATGTAATACCCATAGACCACAAATCACAACACTTTGCAATAAATGGGATGGCCTTAATGGTGTGGAGTCCGTAATGTCTTATTGTTGGAAAGTGAAATGTTATCTTATTAGTAACAATCAGCTTCATTCCGTAAGTGTTCCCAACACAATTCCTATATCCACTATTCACACTCTAGTCCGGTCTCCCCAGTAAGGTTTAGGTGAAGAGTAACTTGTGTGGCTTCCCTTGTATAACGAGAGAACACAGCATAAATGATGGCTCTTCCCTCTGACTGATTGACTTTATCACTTTTTGGCTACTTTTTTTTGTCTTGATTAATTCCTTTTAAATATATAAAATTATCGATTCCTTGTTCTCTGCTCTGCTGTAGGTGATCCTCTATCTCCTTTCACTGTTTACGAAACCATAGCTCAAACTTTCATGGATAAACATTGTGGAACCTAGGATCGTGTCTCGAGGGGGTGTCTGGGAGAATGTTGGCACAGACATCTTTGCGCATGGTACTGAAAAGGACGCAACGTAATCTCAAGGCGCTGTGTTATCGGTATTACGTAGGGTACGAGTAAGGTACGAGTATGATATAGGTGTGGAGTATAGTGCTGATTCCCATGAGGAGGAGGTATGAAGTCAGCCTAAGTTACAGGGTTCACAGAGGAGGTAAAGGTAAACTGAGTAATAGGTGAGGTTGGTACAATGACGGCGGTCTTCTTTAGAGAAGAGATAAGTATGTGAACAATAGGTGTCACCATAAACAGAAGAATTTGCGTGAAGAAGAATACTCCTTAACGCTGGGTATACATGTGTACATCAGATAATAGGACAGCCCTAAGCTCTGTCTCGAACAGTATTACTACGAAATTCCTATGAAACGAGCCTATCAATCTGAGTCTGTCCTATTTGTTTAGGAACTTGATCCAACATCAAGTTGTATTTTGGCATGGAAATCCTGTCATGATATTACCAGTCAACGACCGGCTTGGCGCCGACAGGTGCATATGCACGTCGTGCGTCGACCATGGATACAACTTCTGTTGCTCTTGAGCCTCGGACTTATGAGCGCCAAGTTGAGTCATTGCACAGCACATATTGGGGCAGCAACATGATGAATCTATTGACCACGTAAGCTAGCCATGAGCGGTTAGATATCACCGGACAATTACGGGATAGCGCTCAGAGGTCTATGCAGACCTCGTGCACTGTCGGAACTATACAACTGCTTCCGCTCTTGAGTTGGGGACTAAGGACTGCGGAACTGAGACATTGTATGGGAACGGATGGAGCGACGCTGTGGTGTGTATACAAACCACAGGCGCGAACCATGGACTGGATTGCTGTCGTTCCTGAACAGCTGGCTTCAGGATCACTCAGCTAGTATACTACAAATAAGTAATTGAGGAATTGCAGCGAGGCGTACTTGGACCGCGCGCGCTAGCCGCCGGTATAGCGGATGTCTCTCATGAGCGATAGACTTATGAGCTGCAGGGTTTTGCCTAGGCACGCTGTTGGCAGTAAGTCACGAGAGAGAACGTAGACAATGACATGGGTCATATTGGAGTATATAAGTAGTCTATATTCGGTCTTATGAACTGTATCAAAAGTAATCGGAATTACACTGGTCCTATATCCTCCCACTACACGTGACAGACCAGTTTAGTTTTTGGTTTGTTCATTAACGTGCTAGGTTACATGACTACTGTTGCACTCCTATTGGGGCTTAAGTACGAGTGGAGTTGGGCCGGATCAGGTTAACTACCGTGAAGTACAGATAAACCTCGTCCCACTTTAATGACCGGACCACCTCAGACTTCACCTATGTGTTGAATCATACCAAGCCTAACCGTCCAGAAACCCGCTGTATACACGCCGTAGCGCAACTTCCTCCTCAGCCTCGGCCACCACGGGCCCGAGCCCTTGACATCCTCATTGACTCCAAAATATCAATGCCGTCCAAGATCTCATCGTTGCTCTAGCCTTGCACCTTCATATCGTACCCTTGGGTTGTTTTCGTCATTGGGGTATTGTGTAATCCACTGAGTGTATCTTCCCTCTTCTTCCTCATTTGTGCACGTCCCTTTTCCATCATGACTTTCCTCATTAGGGCGTGTATAGATAGATGGACGAGTACAGAGGTGGGTCGTAGGTATAGGATCGACTGAGAAATTCTTTGTCGCAAATACATGAGGAATTTGAGAGATGTCGGATGTTTGAATACGACCCCCAGACAAGCCTGGGCACATTCGTAAATCGTATGTATGTGGTGATGAGTTTTTGTTCAACTTTGTTCCGGCTGTGAAATCTCTGCCGGCTGATTTTTCACCAAATTATCAAGCGCAACTCCTTCAAGTCGAAAATCCATCAAATAAAATTCATCCCACCCTTTGTCGTGACTGAATCTCGGCTCTGGGAGAATATTTCACTCCCAGGTTTGTAGAGGACACCACTGACAGGTGTTCAGCCTTCGCCCTCCAGACCAGTTCAGGTGATACCTGCTAAGTAACTAAGCTCCCATTTCACAGAATCCTAGTCTCAGCATATCTTGGGCTTTCGCTTCCGCGGAGGGAGTGCACGCATTTAATAGCTGGGTGCGTGTTGCAAATTTCTTTGGAAAAGCACAACATGTATGACCAAAAGGGTGATATGTGATTCAGCTAAGTTCCCCCTTCCATATTTTTATTTAATTGATTCTTTATTCAATAATACCTGAAAGCATGAGAATTAAAGGGAGACTGGTAACCATGTATAATTTAATCTTCAAGCGCAGGATGATAAGATCCTGGCTTTCATTTGCTTTGTTGGGTTTGTTCAGGTGCCAACACGTCGGGTAGTTTTATCTAGACTGAGCTAACCAGTACGTGAGGAGCTCACGTGCTGTGTGCGGGCACAAATATAAATATTATAAATGTCAGTAAAAGGATTAAAAAAGGTCCAGAATCAGCACAAGCTAGACATTTTCGACACTTAACACATCGCATCACCCATTACCCTTATTTACAAGAATCTTCAATCGGTGCAATGGCTCCAGCTGTTGCATCGTCATCGACAACGCCCTCCAATCCAGGAGGGCAACTTCACCCAAGCCTGCTTGGCATTGTGAATACAATGCACAAAGCAGAACAACAACGGAAAGAAAGACTGGATATAGCCCAGGAATTTCTAG